CATAGACCACCTGCTGCTGAAAAGTATGTCCTGAGCTGGCCAGCACCATGCCTAGGGCTTGTCTGACTAGAAAATAAGGTAGTGTTCAAACATAGCCTTGAGGAGCCTGTCTGGGCTGATGCTTTAAGGTAATGTGAATTAACATGACTCCTCAAGTGTGAGGTCTAACACAACCTTATTTTCTAGTGAAGAGCAGCCCCAAAAATGGCTGGGGAAGGGGTACGACCATGTTTACTAACTTAGTTACTTAAATGGCCCCCATCACCCTAGTGTCTGAGTGTCTCACAATCTTTAATGCATTTTTGCCTCACAATACCCCTGGGAGGGGCAGTGCTATTCTCCCCATTTTACAGCAGGAGGACTGAGGCACAGAAAGGCTAGTGACTTTCCCAAGGCCATGCACGAAATTTAACTCCGATCTCCAGTCTTAAGCTGGTGTCCTAACCGCTGGGTCATCCTTCCTCTCTTGGTGACTAGATTAGCACAGCCTTGACCACGTTTTTAGAGCAACTCTCTGGCCCCATCCCTGACAGGGCAAAAATCCAGAGGGTAAATCCTTTCTGGAGTAGAGGTGTCCTTGCTGATGCAGGTGGGGCTTCCAGTGCCAGGCTGAGATCTCTACTAAACCTTGCCCAGGGGCCTCACCACAAAATCATTCTCCAGCTTACAAATGTCCAATAAACTTGTACATAATCATTTTTCTGACTGTAGCTGAACTTTAGTCATAAACCTGTTTTTAAAGGGGTCTGCAGTCAGGGGTGGTTTCATGACTATTCTCCTGCATGGTGCGCCACTCTTTCCCCACCCCGTTTAATTCCCTTTTGCGTGCTCGCTGGTGAATGTGAAAAGAGTCCTCTCTGGCACTGAACCCTTTGCTGTGTAATGTAGATATCCAAAAGGAAAAGCTTGCAAGTGACTCCTTGGGAAGGAGCAGCAGTTGGTTGCTGAACCTCGATACCAAAGCCAGAGCTGATGCCAGTATGATGGGCACTGTAATTACCTCCATCAGAGAGCTCAGATTGGATATGGGAGCTGAGAGCATTGTGTTAACTTAAATGGCCCTGAAAGGCAAAACGTAATGAGAAAGTTAACTCGTTACTGGCAATATAATACTGATTCCCAGTTTTGGCCCGATTTGCCTTTTATTTCATTCCAAATATGGGTCAACTCTTCTCCAATGCACAAGGGGGATCAAGATTCTGGTATGGACAGAATTTATTAAGGAGCTCTGTGTTCACAAAGTAGATAAAGCAGGATATTGTGGGGCGGGGGGTTACTAATGGGAGCTTTGCTATTATCTTCAATGGGCCCAGGGTCTGGCCCATTCCCCACCATACAAATCAGAGGCAAGTTTTGCTCATTGTATTTTAAAATAATACAAGGCAGGAGTTTCTAATAGGTTTGGATTTTTCTTCTTCTTTTGTACTACTAAAACTTGTAACTAAGTTAATAGACTATTTAATAGTCTTGCTTGTAAGAATAATAACCTCTGCTCTTCCACTCCAAAAATAGTATTGCATTACAGATTAGGAGAGGTTCACTCAAGGCAATGTACTTATGGGTTCTTATTTAGAAGTAACTGCTAATTAAAATATTAGTTGGCATTCCCCTCTGTGTTCTGCTTACTCATGTGAATTGAATCACAGTTCTAGGGATCTAGATGAGATGATATCTACCACAGAGGAAGAGGTAAAGCTTCATATTCCAGTCAAGGAATCTAGGCAGCTAAGCTTTCTCTAAATGTTTTAAATAGAAAAACTGCGCTAACCAAATGACAGCTGCTGAGTTATAAGTTTAGCTGAATTTGAAGATAAACATTGTTGCCTGAAAAACTTAAAGGAAATCACGTATAATACTGTTTTTCTTTCTGTTTACTATGTATTGCCCACCTAATATGCATAATAGATAAACTGTACAAAATAGCAAACTTTCTTCCCCAACCAATTTATGCTCTAAAGGTATGAGCATGTACAAAAAAGAATAAAACAGAGGTGGCTTTATAGCAAAAGTACTTGATGCAGTGGTAGATAAATTTCCAGAAGTTTATTGAAGGAAGAGGTGGAACTTGCATGGCAATACTAGATGGGAGGCTGTGGTGACTGTAAACAGTGGTGCAAAGGAAGGTGCAAAGTTAAGAGTGAGAGAGGATGTCGGAGCGTGACCAGGAAGGATGTCCATCCAGCAAGGTGGAGCGAGGGAGTAGGAGGAGTTGAGAGCATGTGGGAAAGGGTCTGAGAGCAAGGGGGAAGGGGGGATAGTACTTGGAAGTCTATGGTGCTGAATATGCCATGAATACATACCCAGATAGACTCCATCCAAATGGCAGCAGAAGGCAATACGGAGATTCAAGGAAGGTAGAAACATAGAGCATGTATGTCAGGTTTCAGAGTGGTAGCCGTGTTAGTCTGTATCAGCAAAAAGAATGAGGAGTCCTTGTGGCACCTTAGAGAAAAACAAATTTATTTGAGCATAAGCTTTCATGGGCTAAACCCCACTTCATCGGATGCATGCATGTGTTATCCTAAAAATACATTGGTGAGCAATGTCACTATTTTGAGAATATAGTAGTATAATGAGCACAATTTTCTGCTAGTAAAAGAAGAAAAATCACAGGGGGATTGTTTAGGGCACCACTAACTACCTCAGATAACACAAACTGAGCCAAATTCTGTATTGATTTACCCCATGCTTTTCCATTACAGTCCTTGAGGGGTTTATTTAGGGTTACCATATTTTGTGCCTCCAAATGGAGGACACTCCCCGGGGCCCTGGCCCCGCCCCCAGCCCCGCCCATGCCCCCGCCCCAACTCCGCCCCCTCTCAAAGTCACCGCCCC